GTACAGTTTTAGCCTTTCATTGCCAGTCTCGATAAACAGGAAAAGAATATCAGTGTCGCGAGTTTATAATGGTTATTATATTGCGGATGTTTGCTTTGTAACCTATTTTGATTGCTACAAAATAAAATGTGCACTATGCAGAGGAGAGAGGCAGAGTGGGTGGGTTTGTCTGTGCACTAGTGTTTCCTTTTTTTTTTTCTTCTCCCCAGCGATTTAGGAAAACCGCTGAGCTTGACAGATTTCCTCCCCCCCTTCATAGCGCTTGCTCGTTACCCCCGCCCCTCCCCCCAAAAGTACGTGCTCTGTTAAAAGACGTCTGGGATCGGCAGCCAGGCTAGCACAAAAGGAAGTGTCTAGACTTGGGATGTAATTGACAAGCGCATTCTCTAATCAATGTAGTAAAGCTTTGTGATGGACTCCAGCGCTATCCAATAAGCGAACAGCCTGGATGTTGTAACGTTCGAAATATCCCAAGTGGGAGAAGAGGGGGAAAAGAGCGGAGTTAGTTGCAGTCCTCCCATATTCTCTGAAGTTACTGTCCGTTCAGGAATTGGAGGGTTAGCTGCGAAGTGTCAAGTCAGTACATCCAATTACTTGGATATTCAAGAGCCCTTAATAACAAAAAGAGGTTTGTTTGGTTTTTTTCCCATAGAGAAAATGCTGAGCTCCATTGCTCTGACATGTAGTGCTATAACTTGAAACACAGGGCTTTACTCCACTCGCCTTATCCCATATTTATAGTCACTGTCAACTGAGTATAATTCTTAAGAGAGGGAGGGGAAAGACATAACTTATCCCCCCTTCCTCCTGCATTATTATACTGTTGGCCTGCATCTTGTTCTGAGTGCTCAGATCTATGTTCCTGTAAATCCACGATTGTACTAATAGTGTCCCAAGACATAATCGTTTCTTGGAGGAGTCAAGAGTGCAGTATATTTACATGGAATTATGTGGCACTGATTTCTGGGATACTTACTTCCAAGTAAGATTAGGAGTGAATCGTGAATCGGGAGCTTTGCTCAACTGGTCCGCATAATATGAGCTATAAACTTTTTCTTTAGCTAGTTTAGTGGTTACTGTCCTGCATGCCTGCATTTGAGAGACATTTTTCCCTTTTTCCATTTAAGCCATAATGACATGGTCCAGTCAAACATGGACACTTAACTCTTTTCAATCTCAAATACTAGATACACACTTGCCTCTAGTTTAATAAATCAGTGGACTGAAAAAGTGGGTAAGTCAGAAGAAATTGGAATGGATAAGTCGGGGATCTTGTAAACTATTTGGAGAAGTGAGAGGATATGAAGATGAGCACGCATGTGGATATGAGTATGTACTATGTTGTTTTCCACCCTTTCTGTCCAGAGCTGGAAGGAATGTAAGGAGATCTGTATCCAACTGGTTGGAAGTCTGGCCAGTATTGTTCTGGATCCCACTGCCCAAGAGGAACCAAATCCAAGACACCTCCTGGTCTTGGAGATAAGTACTAGATCCCTTATTTCTGTGTAAATCCTGAAAGCAGCCTGAGAAAATGCACCACTGAACTCAATTGGACTTCTAGCAGACTGCATCAGGGGTGTCCTTTAGAAGAAAGCTGCCTGGATCAGTGGTGTAGGATTTTCCACATGCTTCAGAAGAGCTTGATCCTCAAGGCTGAAGATTTAGTGGGAGTTAAGTCCCACAGAAATAATTGGGATTTGTGCTGAATTGACACAAGTAGGATTGCGCTGTCAACCACTAAGCTGGCGTTTTGAATTCTTCACCTTGGGCATTGGGTGCAAAATACTGTCTCCTTGGCCCTGGGAGTAGGTTTTAGTCTGAGTCGGTTTGCAACAGAACTCATACCAGGAACTGGAAGGAAACCTTGTTTTAAAATAAAGAAAAATTGGGAGGGGGGATGGGGTGGAGAAGGGGAATGGTGTTAAAATCTATCATTAATCCTGACTTTGAAGTCTTTCTACTCCGGAGTAGCTTCATGTTCGGCTGAAGAACTAATTTCGAAGTCGTTTAAAACATCCCAGTCTAAAGTTTTTAAATCATATTAATGCGATTTCCCGTTAAGCTTCTCCCTAATATATATTCAAGATGGTCCGTATAAGTGAACCCTTCGCGACGTAATTTATATATCTAAGAGGATTTCACAGAGGCTGGCGAGGTAAAAGTTTCTGCAAATAAAACATTGTAAATGCAATACCGGGCAGCGTGCCAGGTACAATATGGATAGCAGGGATCATGGCAGAAAGTCTTTTCACAGAGACATATACCATTTCACGGTAGCAGCCTATAGCGCTTTTCAAAGTTCCCATTTTCAAGAGAGACGTGCTGGCTCGAGTGAGATTTTTGTCCTGGGTTTGTAATGGAGCGATCTCCTTTAGGTATACTTTATCCTCCCCTTGCTTCCCAAGCTTTTACACACACACACAGGGTTTTGGAGACTTCTCCCTCCACCCTCTGGGAGAGAAACCTTCCCGGAGAAAAATTTCATACGGTTCTCTTTTTGTGTATCTCTGCCTCCTTTGGGGGACGGGGAGAAAGATTTAAAGATTTAGGCTTTATTATTTGTGCCTTCCCCCCGTCGATTTTTCATTAGCCCCAGTATGCTGGGGTGTGTGTGTGTGTGTGTAAGGAAGAGGGAGAGAGGGAGGGCGCGCTCCTCTGAGAGCATTTTTGTGTAGGTTTTGCGGGGGGGGGAGGGGAAGGCGAGGAGGGAGCGGATGTGAAAGGCTCGGCGCTGAACTTGGATGCAAAGCCTGCCTAGGGGGCGCAAACCATCATCCCGCGTCCAAAAGTCTTAACGAAGGGCGCCAAAAGTTACTTAAGATAATATTGCTAACCACAAAGAGCTGGAAGTCGTAAAGCAAAACGGCTTGCCAGCGAGGAAAGCACAGCCAGGGGCCCGATCCTGCCTCCATCACAAATTCCTTCCTCGCCCTTTCCTTCTCCTGTGTTAAGAGAAGTTGGAGGACAAATTCTCTTAAGTTACACAGAGAGGTAAGGAAGGAGGTGGGATATCTATCTGAGTGTGGGGGAAAATTGAAGAGTTTGTGAAATGGATATCCACAATAGAAAACAGGAATGTTATCTGTCTCCCCCCTCCCCCCCATGTATTGAATCCATAACAAAAGAATAGTTTTGTTGTCCTTTGCTCCACGAAGTAGGCTACCAACATAGTGATCTCAGTGCCTACTTAACTTGCCTACCCATCCGCACAGCAACTGGACTGCTATCAGGACAGCCCTGGCAACTGATGCAAGCTGTCAGTCTGTGGCTAACCAATGGTGCACATTCACTGCCATGGGTAAGGATTCAGCTTTCCCCTTGCCACCACAGACACCGCTTTGGAAGTATTTGTGGCTGTGGTGCCCCATACATGCCAAAACCTGTGGGTAGTGTCAGATGCAATGGCTGTGAATCGCCTCAAGCTGGATTGGTTGTGGCAAGCAGCAGGAACTACATCTAATCTACATCTGGAATACAAAGCAAGGGAAAGGAAAATATTCTCTGGACCACCAGCTACTCCTGAGTTCAGAGGATGATGAAAAAGGAAGGCAAACAAGTTTGGGAACATATGGAAAGTCATAAAAAAATAAGCTTTTTTCATGGTACTTGAGTTGTTTTTCCTCAGTATTTTCGCTCTTAGCAAGTTTTGTCAACCAGAAAATCCTGTCCAGGAAACTTGGAAAACAAAGAAATCCCATTAAGTATTTTGTTGGGTTTCTTTCTATGACTTTATGTTATCCAAAGGTACCTTGGCCACTCTTTCTTGCCTTTTCTTTTTTATTAAGAAGCTTGGAATGAAAAGTAAAGCCTTTACTGAAATCAACTATCTGCAGCCTGCAAATGATGATAAGCTTTGAGTGAAACATTCAAAAATGAATACTGTTAAAAACATAGGCCTTGTCCCCTGAACAGACTTGTAAAAGCTTTGAAAAAAAGTCGGCAACATTTTAAACTTTTGAGACACCTAAATCTATGCTCCATAAAAGAAGACTGGCATTCAGAATGTGGTATGTCTTGTGGTATCCTCTTCCCTTTTTTTAATGAATGGTTGTGGATCTGTCAGTGTCTGAAGGCTGCTGCTTTTTGGGAAATAGAAGATCAGAAAGGACTCCACTTAGTAGCTTTGGTAAGACTGGAAAGAAAATATAAGACTCAGTGCAAGAAAATGTTGGTTGACTGGCAATTTTCCAAACCTCCAAAACCAAAGCTTTTCTTGTGCCAGAATAATGCATTATGATAAATAAAGGACAGAAGGCTCGATTCTAAGTTTAATCACTTTTAAGTAGTAAATACTAATACTTTCTTCTTGTGGGTTGCAATGCACCCATTAAGTTCTGCATTATTAGTAAAAGGAGCATGGCTATAACATTTTCAAAGTAAAAACAAACCAACATGGACATTCATGAGATAGCTGGAAAGTTTGCTTTGAACTTGAGCTCCAAATCATGATCTTCTGCAAAATGAGCCATCCAGATTTATGAATTTCAGAATTTGTAGGTAAATGCAGTATTATTTAAAGAAAATATTGAAAATCTCAAAAGAATTTCACTTAGGGAGATAATTCTTGGAAAAAAAATACAATTTTCAGTACATAAGAGCACAGCTTTGATACTTGGAGGAGTGTGTTCAAGACAGTATCTATTTAGAATTATACACCTTTTGAATAGTGTATAAGTGAGCTGAATGCTTAAATACGGATATTGCAACCCTCGTGTTTATGAATGGTTCGTCTGGGCAGAAAATCTCTTTCTGCAGGAGATGAACGATAGAAAGTTTAGTCCAAAGTCCTTCAAAAAAAGACGTGTGTCTGCATGGGAGTCGAGGGTGGGCGAGAGAGACCGAAATGCGAAAAAGAAGTTTTGGTTGCTTAAGCACATCCTGCACAGCCTATAGCCGCTCGGGAGCCCTACATGGAAGCGGCTCGTAATTGCGTTCCCAGTAATGCACTGAGCACAGGGATATGGGATAGGGAGGGCTGGCCGAGCAGTAGCACTGCAGCCCCCCTCCCCCGGGCAAGGCAGCGAGCGAGCGAGCGAGCTGCTGCTGCTGCTGCTGCTGGTGGTGGAGCGGTGCAGAGCGGAGCAGAAGCTGGCTGGAGGCACGCTGGCAGGCTCCCGGAGAAGCTTGGAGCCTGAGGCTTTCTACTGCTGTCGCTGGAAGCGTGGGGAGGGGGGGGGAAGTGTGCACTATGCCTTTAACGCCTGGGTACAGTAGACATGTATAGTGTGTAGTGTAGGGAAACTCTAGGCGGGGTTAAAGTTCAGCTCATGGAGCTGATCAGCGCTGGCTGCAGTTTAGCAGAGTTGGAAATGTGAAAGCAAGAAGCAGGCTCGGTTCTTCCCCCTTTCTTTTTTTTCTTCTCTCTCTCTCTCTCTCTCTCTCTTTTCTCTCTCCCTCTCTCTATTCCTCCCCCCTCCCTTTCTCTCTCTCTCCTTCTCTCTCTCTCTCCCCCTCTCACTCACACACCTCCAAGCCACAAAACCCCCACAGCAATCATGTACTCTCCTCTCTGCCTTACCCAGGTAAGAAGCTCTTTGGATTCATTTGGGGGGAGGGGAATGGCGGGGGGGGGATGCGGGAGGTTTGTCTATGCGTTGAGGAGGGGGGCGCGCGTAGAGGGCGGGAGGGTGAAATCCAGCTTGCGGAAAGTAACTTTCTTTTCCGTGAGGTTACATTCTTGCTCTGGCACGGCCATTTGTATAGACACATGGCTAATGGCGCCTTGTTATTAAGGTTTTATTTAATTAATATGGGAATGTGCGAGTTTTTTGTGTTGGAGAAACCGGGTGTCTCTCGGCGATGGGGAGGGTTCGTACCGAAATGCGCTGTGTATGTGTGCGTGTGTGTGTGTTTAGGACGATCTGCACGTGTTTAGCAGTCTTGCAACCCATTACATGCTTGGTCATCTGAAATCAATACTTACTGTTTGTGCTTCCGAAGCGATGAACGTGGAGCAACGCAACACAGATACAATTAGATTCTTTGTGTGTTGTTTTTAAAGTATAGCATTAAGTAATTGCGTGCTGCATGTATTCTTTTCCCCGCCTCCCGGACTGCTAGAGCTGCATTGCTTTTTCTCCCTGAAGTCCTCGCACACTTTTGTGTGTGGATATGTGTATGTGTTCAGCAGCCTTGTGGCTTCAGCTTTTGCCCGTGCGCGGTACACAATGTGTATTCCAGTCCTAGTCGGAACCGCAGGTCTGGAGAGATGCATTGCACCTAAGCCTTGAACTTTCCCTCCCGTACGTTACCTCGCGCTTTGATGGAGAACTTAAGAGCTTTAAGGAATTCACACTGCGCTGTTGGTTGGAGCCCCGCGCTTGCTGCAGCGGCCGCAGTTCTGCAAAATACGTTCCGTTCCGTTACTCCCGTGCACGGCCCAGTTTGGGATCTTCGGAGTCCCCAGCAACCTCGGAGGAGGAGGCTGAGCACGGCCATCCATCCCAACCCAGATCTGCCCTCCTGGCTGCCTCTAACGCTTGTCACTTGCTCGGGTGTCACATTTGCCTGGGGTTGTTTCCTTTGGGAAGTGAGGTTCGTTGTAATGTCCTGCCCGGGGAAAGAAGGAGGCGGGGAAGGGAGTTGCTGTTTGTAGAAAGTTGCTTGGTTCCTTTTGTTTGCATCTTAGCGAAGTTCCTCGTGGATTACGAATCATTCCAAGTGGGTCTCAAGCCCACTTCGCGCCTTCCCCAGATCTCCTGATTGCATTACTTTGAAATTTGAAGAGTTACATGCATGACGCCTGAATACTACTCATGCAGATCTTTCTGGGAAACTGCGATTTAAGAGTTCAGGCAACTTTTCTAACTTCCTACACAACTCCCCCCCCCACCCCCTTCTCTCCCCTTCCTACCCCGCCCCCC